GCTGCTTTCATTTTCCAGCAGGATTTGGCACCTGCCCACACTGCCAAAAGCACCAAAAGTTGGTTAAATTGACCATGGTGTTGGTGTGCTTGACTGGCCAGCAAACTCACCAGACCTGAACCCCATAGAGAATCTATGGGGTATTGTCAAGAGGAAAATGAGAAACAAGAGACCAAAAAATGCAGATGAGCTGAAGGCCACTGTCAAAGAAACCTAGGCTTCCATACCACCTCGGCAGTGCCGGGTGGTATGGAATTTTACCAATTTTTTTATTGGTCTTATGAAGTATTCTAATTTGTTGAGATAGTGAATTGGTGGGTTTTTGTTAAATGTGAGCCAAAATCATCACAATTAAAAGAACCAAAGACTTAAACTACTTCAGTCTGTGTGCATTGAATTTATTTAATACACAAGTTTCACAGTTTGAGTTGAATTACTGAAATAAATGAACTTTTCCACGACATTCTAATTTATTGAGATGCACCTGTATTTGCACTTGCAAAATATTTAATTAAAAACTACACTGTTGCATTTGAATGGCTGTTGATGGATACACGGGCTGTTTGTGCCCACACTGGAGCCTCCACTTGGGTTGAACTAATATGCCATCATCTTTTGAGATTTGAGGCAGTGCCGTCTAGTGGAGATTCCCTGTTGTGTGATATTGTCAGCCTGATGTAATTGTCATTTTAAGCTCTGTGGTGTTAGTAGATCAATGATTGTTTGTGCTGCAATTGTGGTGTAGATGCCAGAGGAGCAGGCGTTCAGCGTGCTGGTCAAGATCATGTTTGAATACGGTCTCAGGGAGCTCTTCAAGCAGAACTTTGAAGACCTGCACTGCAAGTTCTTCCAGCTGGAGAGACTCATGCAGGTTAGTGGTAGAAACTAAGAATATTACTTCATGTATTTGATCGCAAATAATGACAGATTATGCAAAATAATAACAAAATAAAGGCACATATTAAATAAGCAATTGTTAGTTCATCTAAAAATTTAATAACTAAATATGCTAATCTTCTCTTGAAGAAATAATCTCTGAGACATATATTTTATCATATAAAGTAAGATAAATTCCCTGAAGAGTACAAATGTGTTATGAATATATCTGTAATGTAAGTGTATTTCATCTTGTGGAAAAGTCTGCTGGTCTTACATGAAAAAATATGCAATACCATTCAAAAGTCTGGAGTCGTTGAGCTTTTTTTAATTAAGTCTCTTATGCTTACTAATGCTCCATTTGTTTGATAAGAATACAGTAAAGACAGTAAGATTTTGAAATATTGTTGCAGTTTAAAGAATTGTTTCTGGTTTTAATATATGTTAAAATGTAGTTTATTCCTGTGATCAAAGCTGATTTTTCAGCATCATTACTCCAGTCTTCAGTGTCACATGATCCTTCAGAAATCAATCTACCGTATTGACCCGAATATAAGACCATGTTTTTTTCTTGGAAATACATCTGAAAAAACGCGGTCGTCTTATATTCAGGGTCTAGACTTTGACATGTCACTAATATACCCACAACAATAGGTGGCGCCAAATACGCATAAAACGAGTGTGCCATGAAATACGTAATGTAATGAGTGTTGTAAAGATCGCGAGTAAAAACAAAAGAAAACCTTACAGCTGCATGAGTTGTGACTGTCACGTTAGCCTGATGGGACCAAACTCCCTTTGTGATTTTAAAACATAGGCCAGTACCCAGATTTGAAGACTACAGTAAGATTTAACTTCTACTGTTAATAAGATTTTGGTAGGCTACTATTAGATAGATAGCCTAAATGTCCTAATTCATATGGGCTACCTGTTTTTTTTTTTTTTTTTTT